CCTCAACCTAGTTCTTTGGTCAACTCAGATAAAGACTTATGTTAAACCAAACCACCACCGTGGACTACCAATTAGAACTGAGCACTGTGTCCACTCTGCCCAGCCTGGGGTAGCTCCCTGCCCTCCTGTACTGACATTCCTCCCCTAGGTACTGACACTTCCCACCTCCCGCCCATGTGCACCCTCTTTTGTGGCCCTCATTAAACTTCTGATTAAGGTATATAATCTCTACTTCAATTTAACCTATACATGGCCGAAACCACTATACTCACAGACCTAGAACAATGCCTGGCTCATTGTATTTGATTTAATGAATAAATGATGACTCTATTGAGTATAGCTGTAAAATTATCTTGCACTATAGCAAGCTACCTCAGAGCCTTTCAAATTGACACTGAAACCATGCCACATTAATAGTAAACGTAATTCAATGTATGCTAATTTTTGGAAAACTGATGAGAAATCAAAATCTATGTGTTGTATATACATACATAAATATCCACAGTCACACCAATTTGTACACTGCATTAATCAGACATACTTCCAAATACAAAGTTTTCTGGCTGTAAGAGTCAAAGTCATGAAGTTTCAGGACAATGTCACAGCAATCTTTTGATCATGTTAGAGAACCTAATTCTCTCCTTGAAGAGCTCAAGAAATTCTTGGCAACCCCTTCGTGGGAAAAGCACAGAGGTGGAAAAGGTGGTGGGCTATGAGTGAGGCGCTGGAGGTCTCAGCTTGGCTCTCTAACCACTGGCTTTACTGCCACCTGAGCATATCCCTGACCTCCCCAGGCCTTAGTTTTCTCTCTGTAAAATGGAGGAAGCAGACTTACTGACCTCTAAGACGTCTACCAGAGCAATGTTTCCAGTTTCTGAAACTACTGCCACGTGAGCAATTATATTCACTTAATTTTATTATAAATGAAGTCTTACAAAAATTATTTCCTCTCCCTGCTACTGACTTGATGCTTGTTTCCCTTAAAAAACCTTCTCAGTTGGTCTCCCTGACTTCAGACCCTTCATTCACCAATGCACTACCCTTTTGCCACCTCCCTTTCATCTTCTAATGTTCAAAACTTGAATAAACTCTTCATCAGATCTCAGTAAATTTACATTGCTTTCAATATCCTCCTCCACAACTCGGCCTTTCTAATTTTTCTAACCAGACCCTAAAAAGGAAGAGAGGGGATTAGAGAGGAAAACTGATACTTTAGAGAAAATAATTCAAGGTCACAGGGCTAGTGAAGGCAGAGGCAGAATTTGAACTCAGGTCTATCTGACTCCAAAGCCATTTTATCATCACATTTTTGTTACGGTAAATTATAAACCAATCATAAATTTGTTAAGGCTCTATGAATTTGTTAAGATTTGGAAAACTTCAAAGTATTACTTGTATATTATTAATGAAACTTAACTCTCTCAAGGGTCAGAGGTATATTAAGGAAATAGGAGGTGTAGTTTTTGCTTTTCTTTTGAACCAGTTAGCCTTTAAACCTTCAGTTTGACTTAATTTTACATGAAAGGGAAAGGGAACCATAAGCACACAGCCTAAAACATGACCCTGCGACTTAACAAAATGATACCATTCTTCATGTAAAGCCCAAAAATACCTGTTTTGGAGGAAGTCCATCCTGAGAAACAGGATCAAGGGTCATAAATTTCTTATCCCTAACAATACTGAGAACATCATAGAGGACACACATCTCTGTCAGGGCACTTCTCAAATTGTTCCTCACTGAGTCCCAAGGCCAAAGAGAAGGCTGAAATTTTACCAACCCTAAAAGAGAGAAAAAAGAAAGGCACCAATATTAGTTAAAATGAGTAAGATAGAAAGCTCAACCAGGGGTTTTAAAGAACTAAAAGAATAGTAAATTTTATTTCAAATCTGTATCCTATTATTTATGCCCTAAGAACCCTGAAACACCAATCCAAAAGAACCTATGCACCCCAATGTTCACAGCAGCACAAGTTACAATAGCCAAGTGCTGGAAGCAACCTAGGTGCCCATCAGTAAATGAGTACATAAAAAAATTGTAGTACATATACACAATGGAATACTACACAGCAGAAAGAAAGAAGGAGCTCCTACCCTCCTTGACAACATGGATGGATCTGGAGAGCATTGTGCTAAGTGAAATAAGCCAGGTGGTGAAAGACAAATACCATATGATCTCACCTATAAGTGGAACCTAATTAACAAAACAAACATGCAAGCAAAACATAACCATAGATATGAAAATAAAAAACAAACTGACAGTAACCAGAGAAGAGAAGACATAATAGAGGAAAGAAGGGGAAGGGTCATTAAGGAACATGTATAAAGAAAGAACACATGGACAAAGCCAAAGGGGGGAAGTGGTAGGCAAGAAAATGGAGACAACTGTACTTGAAAAACAATAAAAAAATTGTACCCTCTTATATTCCTCTGTCCTCCACCCTTTCTTGAATCTTTGTTAACATTTAGGTTAGCATTCCTACAATGATAAAACCAATAATGGTACCTAGTTTCCACTGGTTAAATCTAACATTACAACATGATAGGCAGGCATTCAAATATTTCTTTAAGTTTATGCAGACCTTTTTTAAACCTTTTTTTCTTCCAGCTTTTAACATGTGAATAAGTAATCATAGAGAATTTTCAGAATACAGAAAGGTACAAAAATAAAAATAACCTATAATGGTAGCATTCAGATATTAAACACTATTATCACATCTTCCAATTTTTTAATTAAAAAATTGTTTTACAAATTAAATTTCATGAACATATGCTTCCTGTATAGAGTTCAAACAATAAAGGATTATAGTGTAAAAGGTGAAAGTGTTCCTTTATTCTCCACCCCTAATTCTTTCCCAGCCTGCAAGGTAATCACTATTAACAGTTAGGGTATAACTGTCCACATGTTTTTCTATGCATCTACATACATATTCTCCCATATTTCTATTACTTCATTCTCCCTACTCTATTCTATTCTACATATATCTATAGCTTAGGGGAGGCATCTCTTTCCCTGGCACAGAGGCCAGAAATAAATGTCTTTTATAGCCACTCCTTTTTACTTTTTTAAAGATTTTATTTCTTTTTTAGAGAGATAAGGAAAAAGAGCGGGAGAGAAACATTGACTTGAGACAGAAACATTGATTTGTAATAGGGACCAAACCCACAACCCAGGCATGTGCCCTGACTGGGAGTCAAAGCAGTGACCGTTTGCTCTGTGGTATCTGTGTATGAAGCCCAAACTACTGAGCCAGTGGTCAGGGCCCCACTTTATATGTTTTAAAGATACTTCCATATCAACACAGATCTACTTCATTCTTTTAATACGGTATGACTGAAGTATGGCTCTACAATAAATTTAACCGTTCCTATTGATTGGACATGTACACTGGTTCCAACAATGCTAGTTAACAATAAACTTCTTAAATACACATTTGTGTACATGTACAACGTTTTCTGTAGGTTAAATTTTAGCCATAATATTAGTGGGTCAAAAGAGAAGCACATTTAGCCCCTGGTGTAGCTCAGTTGGTTGGGCATCGTCCCAAGGACAAAAAGGTTTAATTGCTGGTCACGGCACAAGCCTGGGTTGCCAGCTGGCCAGGTTCCAGGTTGGGGGTGTGGGAGAGACAACCCATTAATGCCTCTCTCCCTTCCTTCCCCTCTCTTTAAAATATATATATATAAAATCTTTTAAAATGAGAGAGTGATGCACATTTAAAAGTCTTGACACATATTGAATCACCAAATTGTCTTCCGGAAAGGCTCTATCAATTCACATTCCCAACCCTGGATACTGACAACCTTTTAAATTTCTGCTACTCTTATGCATGAAAATAGTATCTTTATGATGTTTTGTTTGCCTCTCCCTAATAGTGAGATCTGAAGTGAGTTGACTGTTTCTGTATTTGGCCTGTTTTACCAGTAAGTTGTCTTTTTCTTTGCAGGCTGAATATGAGGGATATCAAGCACTGATGTGTCACAGATGTGGCAAATAATTTTCCCAGCCTGTCACTTATCTTTTTGTTTATAGCCTCTTTTTCCATTATTATTTTAAAATTTTATGTAATTAATATATCTTTCCCTTTACAACTTGCATTTCCTATCTTGCTTAAGTTTCTCCTACTCCCAAAGTTATGTGATTATAACATCACTCCAATATTTTGTTCTTCTCTTCATTTGTATTTCAATCCTTGTGTAAATAATTTTTGTGTGAGGTATGAGGTGGTACTTACCTTTAATTCCCAAATGGATCAATTGTCTTAAGACCACTGGCTTGAAATTCCATCCTAAAATTCCCATTTATACAGGGTCTGTTGCCAATAACTATATCAAGAATTGTGAGTATTTTTTACCCTTGCAACAGTAAAAACCCCAAAACCACTCCAACTTTTCCTACAATTATCTAACTAGCCTCCCTCCTTCTAGCCTAGCATCCTGAATAATGTTTTGAACAAAATCATCTGTCTACTTAAAATCTTTCAAAAGCTTTCCGTTGTCCTTATGATCAACGCCAAATGCTTATCCTGGCCTATTGGCTGTACACGATTTGGCCCCTGCCTACATCTTAAACCTAACCTCGTACTGCAATCAATACAGATTTCTTTTCAGTAGGTATTCCCATCAACATTCACATTGCACAGAGCAAAAAGTCAGTCGCTCACGCTCACAGCTAAAAAGTGGGAGAGCCTAGATGTGAAAGGTTTCTTAACCAGTGTGCCAAGTGACGAAAGCTCTATTAAAAACGTATTTAAACACTTCACCAGTAACAGCGTCTCAAACTCTCCAACTCAAGAAAACCTGCAGAAAGATACGAGTGTTGAGACAAGCAGTGCCCTCAGTCGTCCAGCTACGATAGAGATAGAGAGAGAGAGAGAGAGAAAACACTCAATTACTTCTCTGCGCGGGTGTTACTTTTATACAGACGTGTTACTTTCAAAAACACACACAGCATCTCACCTAGCACAGAAGAGGTAGAGTGACATTTCTCGGGCGGGTACGAGAACTACCGGACCCACCCAGCGGATTCGAGCAGAGCAGCAGACTCGAGCCTTACCTTCCTCGTCGTCCTGGTCCGCACTGGACCCGGCGCCCGCCCAGTCCTGCCCATCGCCCTCGGCTCCTGCCGCCTCCTCCTCCTCGGAGCCCGAACCCTGGCTGAAGTCAATGCGCTGGGCCAGACGCGCCAGGTTCTGGGACATGGACAGCGGCTGCAGGTACGTCTCAGTGCCATCCAGGCCCACCTCCTGGACCTGCTTCTCGCAGGCCGACTCGATGCTGATCCGTACAGCGCGCACCCCAGACATTCCGGCAGCGCGGGCGAGGCGGAAACACCCTCGCAGGAGCCAAAAATCCAGATGAGAACAGAAGTGCGTCCCCGGTACCCGGGAACCGGGGAACTGCAGAGCCTCTGCTGGCCCCCAGAAAAGCAGACGCTGACCCTAAACAGGAAAGGAAGCCGCGAGCACAGCAATTTTCCCAGAATGCACTGCAATGCACTGCAGAACCCCCCCTGTGCTCCAATTTCCAGGAACCCGGTGGGTGAAGCGCCGGCGCAGTGGCCTTCCGGACCAGTACTTCCGGTGAATCCCGGTGCTGCTCGGGCTGGGGGTGGGGGAGGAACCTGGTTACTGGAGACTTGGAAAGTACCGAGGACGGGGGTGGGGAGAAAAATTCCCGGGCCGGAAGTGTAGAGAGGTTGGTCCCTATTGTCTGTCTGCGTTTTTAAGTTTTACTTGTTTGAAAGTCGTGGAGGAAGGGCTGCTGGAGAAGGTCTGAAAGATGTAGGAGAAAAGGAATGAATGGGTCCCTGGATGTTAGAAGTAAGAGGCCCTCTGGGAATGCTGAGATTTGAGGGCTTATAGCTAGAGTAGAAACATGTCTGAAGAGTTATAAAATAGGGTGCAGTTTGAGGGAAAAAAATAATTTGTTTATTACTAGTTAAAATTGTACGTCATAATTAGTTTATTCTCTGCTTTCCCGTTAGTTATAAATTTCACGATGGCGACTATTTCCAGCAAGCATAATAGACACTGGCATGTAATATGCGCTTAATGAATATTTATTTTGTGCATGAGTGACTGAGAATAAGTAATATTTAAAAGATTAAGAAGCAGTGGCTCTGGCAGGGTAGTTGATTGGAGCATTGTTGGGGATAAGCCAGGATTGTGGGTTCTGTATCTCCAAAGTCAGAATACATAGGGGAGTTAACCAATGAATAGCATGAATACGTGGAACAACAAATTGATTTCCCTGTCTCTCTCTCTCCCCTGCCCCCTTCCTTTCCATCTCTCTAAATCAATTAAGGAAAAAGAAAAAAAAAGAAGCAGTGGTATAACTTCAGTCTCTGAGTCCCCAAGAAAGTATTTCATTAGTAATAGTTCCACCAGGGAAGATGGATTATTTTCTTTTACAAAACTCTACTTAATTTAAGGGATTAAGTATACGATTTATGAGTCTTCACAAGTTTTATTCTGACCATGATATCTAAGTGTTTTTAAACTACTTTCCAGGAGGTTCCTGACTCTCCTAATTTTTTTCGAATTCTTGCTTCTTCACTCTTTTCTGTTTGGCCATTATTTGCTTTCTTCCGGTCCACTCAATTGATTTGAGTCCCAGTTTCCTTTTCATCGCTATTGGTTTTCTGTGCAATTCCATTCATTTCAATTAGTTTCGCCTTCATATGTTTCTCTAATTTGTGGCTATAATCAACCAGATCTGTGAGCATCCTGATCGCCAGTGTTTTAAACTGTGCGTCCGAGAGTTGAGTAAAATGAAGGAGAGAATCCTGGAAGCAGCAAGAGATAAGGGGACAGTCACCTACAAAGGAGTTCCCATCAGACTGTCAGCGGATTTCTCAAAAGAGACCTGACAGACAAGAAGGGGCTGGAAAGAGGTATTCTAAGTCATGAAATCCAAAGACCTACAACCAAGATTGCTCTATCCAGCAAAACTTTCATTTAGAATGGAAGGGCAGATAAAGTGCTTCTCAGATAAGATCAAATTCAAGGAGTTCATCATCACCAAGCCCTTATTATATGAAATGTTAAAGGGACTTATCTAAGAAAAAGTTAAAAAAACATGAACAGTGAAAGGACAGCAAACTCAGTTATTAACAATCATACCTAAAACAAAAGCAAACTAAAAGAATAGCTAGATCAGGAGTGGAAACATAGAAATGAAGATCTCGAGGGTTAGCAACAGGGGAGTGGGAGGAGGAGAATGGGGGAGAAGGTACAGAAAATAAGTAGCAGAGATGGTAGATAGAAAATAGATGGGGGGGGCAAGAATAGCATGGGAAATATAGAATCTAAAGAACTTGAGACACATGGTCATAAACTAACAGGGGGTAATGGTGGGGATGGGGGATAGGGTAGAGGGGAATGAAGGGGGGAATAGAACAACTGTAATGGCATAATCAATAAAAAAATTAAATTATAAAAATAAAAATAAACTACTTTCCAGCTCTGGCTGGTGTGGCTCAGTGGATTGAGTGCCAGCCTGCTTATTGAAAGGCCACTGGTTGGATTCCCAGTCAGGGCACATGCCTGGGTGGCTGCCGGTCCCCAGGTGAGGACATGCAGGAGGCAACTGATTGATGTATCTCTCATATGTTGGTGTTTCTCTCCCTTTCTTTCTCCTTCCCTTCTCCTCTCCCTAGAAATAAATAATATACTTTTTAAAAAACTACTTGTCAAAGGTATTTGGGAAAATAAGGATGCCCTGGTGTCAGTCTCTACCAAAACAGAGTATGTGTGGCAGGGTATGTTGAGGACAGGGTCAGTTTTCAAAAGTAACCTATTTTTGGCAAGCACCATCATGTTTAAGAAGTATACTCACTTGTTATGCCAACATTTGTAAAAATTTTAATACTTTATCATAAATTTAATAAATCTATCATGGGCTCTATTTATGCCAGTTACTGTGCTAAGTGTTTTAATCATATTTCTCATTTTATCTTTATAAGGTGCTGATACTTCTGCAGTTTGGGTCATCTGTCGTCTCAGCTGGGCTTATTCACATACTTGAGGGCCAGCTGATCTGGAGTAGGCCCAGCTGGTTCATTCTACTTAAAGTCACAGGTCTATACGTCATTCACATGACTCTGTACCATGTGTCTCTCATTCTTCCTATACTAGCAGGCTGGTCAGGGTATTTCTGTTTATGGCGATGGCAAAGGTACAAGAGGTAAACCTTGCCTGCATTACATATCTAATATCCACAAGCCCATGGCCAAGCCCAAAAGTCAAGGTCGGGAGAGGGATATACTCAGCTTTCTCACTTGCAGAAACTTCAGAGTAGTGGAAAGGGGTGTGGATGAAGGGAAGAGCAGGGCCAACAATCTGTCATATATGCAAATCTAGTTACATTCCCCTCATACCATAAATAAAAGTAAATTCCAAATGTTTTAAATGTCTAAATATTAAAATAAAAAAGAGTGAAGTCCTCTGCAGACTCAGATACACTGGAGACTAAGTCCTACTCAGCAGGAAGTGTTCCATGAAAAGTACTTGTCAGATCTGAGGCTTCATGGAGCTCAAATTTTCCAAAGGGAAGAACTGAATTCCCTATCATCTTTCAAGGCTGAGGAGACAGATCTGTCACACTCAGTTAAAACCCCAGAAGAGGTAGGTGGAATAACAGGCTCTACGCAGAGGTGGCCTGAGTCTTATTTAGATTTAAGATACAACCCAACCTCAACCCAGCTCAATCTCTGGTTACACTGAGCTGACCGGTCTCTCATCTGCCTAAAAAACGAAGGGTGGGCCCTAGCTGGTGTAGCTCAGTGGAATGAGTAAAAGACCTGTGAGCCAGAGGATTGTTGTTCTATTCCCAGTCAGGGCACATACCTGGGTTGCAGGCCAGTTCCCAGCAGGGGACCCACGAGAGGCAACCATACATTGATATTTCTCTCCCTCTCTTCTTCCCTTCCCCTCTAAAGATAAATAAGTAAAATCTTTAATAAAAAAAGAAGGGTGAAAGATACCATGTAAAACACACAATAGTATATATTAGCATATAATAGTTGTAGTAGATATGTAAAGAGACAGGAAAGTGACTGATAATCAGAAGTAAAAACAAATAATAGGAACATATACACGATGGATGATCAAACCACAGGAGATGAAAGACAAGGACTCTAAAATAATATGTTAAAGGAAATGGAGGAAAATGGATGAAAAGAGTTTGAACAGAAAATTTTGCTCTATAAAAAAGAATCATGTACATTATAGACTTAAAAAAAGCTGAAATCAAGAACCCACAGGATAGGTTTACTGAGAGATTTGACATAGCACAGAATAGGATCAGTGAACTCAGAGCCTAGTCAATGGAAAAATCCAAAACAAAACACAAAGAACAGAACAGAGTTAAGATCATTTGGGATACACACTTATAATTTGTATAGATGTTAAAAGGCTACTCAGGGAATACTATAACATTTTTCCTGCTTCCTCTATCCTAGTTTTTGTTAATTTTAGCTCCTCTCACACCCCACACTGCAATGCAGTTCTTCACAGCTGGGGCCAGCCTCCTGGTGAAATGCCAAGTGAAGAAAGAGAAAAATGGGACCAGAAGAGGCTCATTTCCTAATTTCTCTGGAACCATTTTGCTGGGTTTTCTCTTGGTGTTACAGGTGCTTAGTCTTTGGACAGTGTTTTTAAAAAGAGAGAGAGAAAATGGGGAAAAGATGGAGACTTTCACACTGGCTTCCTAGGGCTCCCTTTCCTGGTCCTCTGGCCTGTAGAGACTTCTCTCAGTAATTTTTACTGTCTATGCCTATTGCAGAGCGGGACCTAGGTTGCCTCTGGTCAAATTCAGGAGGTAAGAAAGAAAAATCAGCCCTAGCTGGTGTAGCTCAGTGGATTGAGTGCTGGCCTTAGAACCACATGATCGAGGTTTGATTCCCAATCAGGGCACATGCCTGGGTTGTAGGCCAATTCCCAGCAGGGGACCCATGAGAGGCAACCATACATTGATATTTCTCTCCCTTTCTCCTTCCCTTCCCCTCTAAAGATAAATAAATAAAATCTTTTAAAAATTTCAGAAAACTCATCATTGTATTATTCATTCTTAAAGATCCAACTTCCCTCTTCAGCCAGCCTGCTATGGCTTAATTTTCAAGAGTATTCTGAGAGTTGCTGTTTGCATTATGTCCAAAGTGTTGTATTTTGTAATTGTGGTAGAAATAGGCATTGTCAGCTTATTGCATCTTGGCTAGTACCAGAAGTTCATGTGTTCTTTTAATTTTTGTATTTGTGATATGTAGATTCCTTTAATGCACAGTACCTTATAGGATAATACATTATCACTTATCCTATTTTAATTATTTGTTCCTATGTCAGCCAGTTTCCCCACTGGACTGAGCTCTGCTGGGGCAGGGACCGTGTTTTACTCATCTTTGTATATATTCACAGTGCCTGGCACATGGATGATGCTCAGCAAATTGCTGTTAAATGATAGAACAGGCCACACAGAGGCTTCGCTCAAATAGGAAGCCGGGGTTCTAAAACCAACAGTAAAGGGGAGTCTGCTTTTCGATATCTACTGTAGTGGCAAATACTAGGTTTGCTAATGCAGCTAATCCCAAGCATCCTTGTAAAGTCAGACTTCTTTGCTGTAGTTAACATACTTCAGAAAAACAGAACATTTTAGAAACATGGGACATATCAGAAAAATAGAGCCAAAGGTAGGATGGAGTTCCAGGAACAGGAACCAGCCATAGATTTGCCCAGTGACTGTGCCAGATTCTCTGTGGAAACTCGGTGTGTATATTCAATTAATCAAATGTAATTAATTATAGAATTATATTAATTGTATTTATAATTAATAATCAAATAATATTGCATTATTGTCTGTCAGCTTATCTTCTCATTTTAGGTTTGGAAAGATGATGTAAATGCATCTGGTCTTTAAGCAGTTTTTTAGCAAAAAAACATTTGTCAGCAAGAAATATTTCAGCTGGCATCCCTAATATAATGTACTTTAAGAAATATATGCAAAAATAAAAATAAGAAAGGATGAAATAAAATATGTAGACAGATATTCTAGTATCCCTGCATTCCTTGAAATGTCTTGTGCCCTTGCTGTGGTTTATGCAACCCCCTTTAAATAAAACTGATGGAAGGGTAAAGGCACTATTCACATTCTCTAGCCAGGAAGAGTCCCTGGACTTTTTCAGAGAATTCAGCCCATCTGAAATCAGATGGGAAGCAAGCAGCCTTAGAGTGGGACCTGAGCTAATTCACTGTAGAAGTATTTTAATGTAGCATAAATTCTCACCTTAGGTCCTAAAGGCAACTTCTAGGGACCTGAGGTGTGAACTCAACAGGCAAGCCTGCAGGAAGGCAGCTCACTTCACTGCCCCACCCTTTGCTCCACCTGCCAGGGCTGTGATCCTAAGTAACTCAGCCCATCTCCTGGCTTCCTGGGAGTCTTGGCCCACTCTGCAGTTGGTGCTACCTTCACTTTTCTCCATCACTGAATGCAGCATCTGCTGCCTGTTAATACAACTTTTTTCAGAGTCAAAACCTCTTAATCCTTTACTACACTTTGATTTTTTATCACTGCACCACTGTGGGCACTCGAAAAATAAGCTTGTCATTTCATTAATAATGTGCCTCATAGGAATTCACTAGTGTTTAACACAAAGAAATTGGTATAGCATGATTCAGTCTTAATACATAGATACTCCAATACATTTCATAGAAAAACATCACCTAGTATTTTGTCATTAACATTTTCCCATCCTTCCCAAAGGCAAATAGGGCATCCTTACCCACCATTATCCTAAATGGAAGTCACCGAACATACAATGGATAACTCCTTAGGAAAAAATGCTATTATATCTAGGAATTGGATGTCAGTATTTCAGCAAAGAATTCTAACAAAGTCAAAAGAACAAATGAGAAATATTTAATTTAATTTAA